CTGCTACAAGATGCCAGTCTTTGAGAAGTACCACTCCATGCTTGCTATTTTATTTTTCCACAAGCACATGTTCTTAAAGTCAGACTAGGAGGCTGGCTGGACTGAGCAGCTACAGCTGGTCTCCATGCCTCCTGATCCCCCTTCATCATTGCTCTTCGCATCCATGCCCCGAGGGAGCTGCTGGGTTTTGAAGCGATGGTTCCCAGCTTATGTGAGTTGATCAATAGTAGCCGCCTGCACAGGACTCGTGTCTCTGCTGTCTCCCCAGCAGCAGGCTGCTGTTGGCGCATGTGCATCATGAACTGCGCACCTACAGCTGGCGAGAGCGGGCTGCTGAGAGCAAGGCTGCCTCTGCTGCTGAATTCCCATTTACAGCTGGTTGTCTGCAGCTGCTGTTTGTTTTTTATTCACTGTACAAATAAGGGCAGAAGATAAAATCTCGTCAGTGAAACCTCTGATAAAGTTTCCAGTCCCTAAGTGAAAATTAAATTTTATCAAGCTTTTCAAAACACAACTGCAGATCATAATCTTCCTCTCCCTGATTCTGAAGACTGCACATTTGTTAAAATCTGGCTGTCTCATGGCCACATCTTTTCCACCTGCCTTCTGTCGCTGCTTCCCTGCACTATGGACCGGACCAGTGTTCAGACCGTAGCTGGAGTTAGGCAGCTGGAAGGCAACAGTCCTTGAACCTCTGTTCCAGCTACACTGCTGCAATGTGTCAAAGCTGGTCTGAAACCAAGCATACCAGTGTCTGAGAAGTAGAGGTGACAAGTGCCTGATACTTTCCAACACCCCTTTTCTACGTGAGCAGTGGGCAAATACGAGGAGAGCACAGCGGTTATGGAGGCGGTGTGATGCAGGCAGGACATCTTGTGGGTGGCTGGCAGGACAGGCATATATATAAGAAGGTCGTGAAGAAAGCATGTTGGACAAGGGCAGAGGGTGCCGCCTGCGAAGCTGCTCTTCTCTCACCAAGTACTCTGGCACCAGTTGTAACTGGGTTATTCTGCTCCTTGTTTGGAAGAGTAATAAACCAGTGATGATGTAATGAAATGATAACTGTTTTTTGACCAGTTCAAGGTAGCAGTCATAAGTGTAGAGACTGTTGTTGCCATCTTGAGCATGATACCTAAGCTCTGCATTGAGCATCTGCCTCAGGCTGTCCTTTGGCTTTGCGATGTGGGAGAGGTGTTCTGAAGACAAGCAGGTCACAGGGAAGTCAAGGTGCTGTAATTGTGCGACATCTGAAAATGTTTTTGTCTTTTGCAATTGTAGGTCAAGATAAAAGCCCTAAAGCTACAGGGCAAAGTTTCAGAGAAAAAGTTCCCTGGAAGAATCAACATAGAAGTACCTGCAGGGAAGCTAGGGGTAAAACTCGGTCTTATCTCGCCAGGTAATCTTGAAAAGGAGATCACACAATGTTGCAACGGGTAGCTATAAAAGTGAATGTAGCAACCCTTATCTTGAATGTAGTGTCTGCTACTTGCTTTGTAGACCTTGGAAAAAGCCTTAAAAAGGTAAAAGGCTTTTACCAGAGGAAGCAGAGGAGGGAAGCTACTTCCCAGGAGGAGGATTTCCACCCTGCCTGGCAACTAGCAAGAGAAAAAAGGAATAACCTTAAGCACTCCCAGTCTGATGTACAGGGCAGAGTAAGAATTTTGCAGATTGAGCATCTTAAATTTTTTTAAGTGCTGCTCACTGAGATTTGTTAAAGATGGAATTTCTCAAGTTGCTTCCATCTTCAGTGGATGTTCCCTGTGTTTGAATCACTGATGCGATTGAAGGAGCAGCAAGGTGAGCACCCTTCAGATTGGGCTGGTGCCCAGTGGTGACATGAAAAACCCCTTCTCAACAAACTATCTCATTTCCCCAAATTGCAGTTTACACAGTCGGCGAAGTCAAAGTACATGGGAGAGTGAGAATTGATTTTTAGCTCAAGAAAACTCTTTTCCTTCTCCGCCAGAGAACTAAGACCCCAGCCCAACTTCAGAAAACAAAAATGCAGGGTTCTGCAGTATGAAGCACATTGAGGGGCTTGAGCAAGAGCTCCAAAGAGAGGTGGGTGTTTCTGTTCCCAGTACCTTGCCCAGAATTCTACCTAGTGGAAGCACGTGTGACCCTAGCAGTAAGCTCTAACATAATTCCAGAAAAGACCCTGTATTGCTTTTCTCACTGTTGGTTCAGTTTGGGTTTTGTGCTTCTGTTTGATAGTCAACCTTGTGCTGCTGCTTATAAAACCCTCCCTAGTTCTCTGGAGGTGCAGTTTCGTGAGACATGATTCACTTTAACCAGCCTCATGCTCAGGGCAGGGTTATTTCTTCTACCATCCCATGCACTCCCCTCGGACTCTGAGCCAGTATTTGCCAGACCTGTCTGTGAGCTGCTTAACTCACTGACCTGGCAGAAATCTAACAAAGGAAGATTAAAAAAAAAAAAAAAAAAAAAAAAAAAAAAAAAAAAAAAAAGGCAGCTGGATAGTTTCCTGCCAAGTCAGTGAGTTAAAGCTGCTTACGGAAGAGACCATCACCTGCCACAGCTGGCAGAGAGACCTGCCTTTAACGGCAATCAGCCACAAGGTTAGCCAGATGCATGGGGAGGTGCAGCCGGGGACTGCAAGCTCTGGTTGCTTTGCCATTCGCTGGACTCTTCCGTGAGTTTGCTACACTTTGCCATTTCAGCCGTGTGCACTGCCAGTCGCCACCCTCAGCCTTGTCCAAAAGTTTTGTTAAAGGACTTGGAGAACACTAACATGAGGGCCACTGCTATGGCTGTACAACATAACCTGCTGGAGCGCAAAGCAGGACTTTGCCCAGCTTAGCAGAGCAGCCCAGTGAGCAGAGGAGATGGGCAAGGGGCAGAGCCTGGAGGTTTCCCAGAGGCTCAGGAGACAGAGGCTGCGCCCTGGGCTTCCTCGTGCACCCTGACTGCAAGGGCAAGCAGTCCTGCTGCGTGGACCCAGATGCGCTTTGCACACATGGACTAGTCCTTCCCTTCCTGCGCAGGGTGCCTTGGCCTGCAGCCCCTCCTGAGGAACAGGGCACCATGTGGGCATCGGGCTGGATAACCTCACCTGCCTTGCTCTCCTGCCTGCATCTCACGCAGGCAGGTACTGCTCTTTGTGGGTTCTCCGGGTGCACAGTGCCACAGCTGCGTGCAAGTAAAACCCAACCCCTTTCTGAGGCTGAGGGCAGTCAGAGGTCTCTTATCCTTCAAAGCCAAGCTGGAGAAGGCTTCAGGCTACCTTGGGTGATTTGGCTGTGGCAGCTTGCTGCTGTTGCCACACTTCTTGGAGAAGGGGAGAGGCTTTGGGGGCCCTCAAAAGAAGTACAGCTTGGGGGGAGGAGCATCTTTCACTGAAAGAACTAAATCAGCCTGGCCTCCAGCCAGCCCTTGGAAAGTCCAGAAAGGAGCGGAGAGATGAGTTTCTGATGTGTTGCAAGCCAGGTACTCTCACCTGTCCTGTATTTGGTCTGATCCCTTTCAGGTTATTGGAAGTTACTGTTTATTAAAAAAAAAACAAACAACAAAAAAAACCCCAAAAAACCCCACATACTTTGGTAAACTAGTAAAAAATATTTTTGAGGTTGTAATGTCCTGTCTTCAGGCTGAACCATGAAGCTATTCCCTAAGCAGGGGTTTTTTTTAATATCAAGAAAATAATTGGTGCTCTTTACAGTGCCTGTTCAGTCAGAGCATGTCTCTCTTTTGGTTTCTGTAGATGAGAGACAGGACTTACAGTGGCATTGTGTACTCAGCCATACTGCCATCTCTGCAGCTTTTCCAAAGTCCGTAATTATCCCAGGTCAGCATTTGTCTAAGTGCGTTTGCAACTATTTTAGTTAAACTCAGATGACTTCATGGGCACTTCTGTGTTTGTCATCATGAGGTTGTGGCTTCTCTTTCTGCACTGCACAAGTATTGGAGAGGTACCCAGAGGCCTCGTGGTCCTCTTGCTCTCTTATACAAGGTGCAGTGCAAAAAGCCCTCAATACTTTTGCGTGGTAAAAGGCACATAGGTTTGCTGGCAAATAATCATGAAACTGCTCCACTGACACCCAGCTAGAAGCCAGCATAACCTCCTGTATCTGTGCCAGTTGCTGGAGGAGCCTAAAGGTGTTTAACTGTCACATTACCAAACCTGGTTGCAGCGAAAAGAAGTGTTCGGTTAAGGCGCAGTGCTTGACCTTCCCTGGGGTGACAGGTCAGGGCTTGTGGGCCAAGCTGCAGCGAACATCAGTGTGGTCAAGATCTGACTGGCTCTTGGCCAAATGGCCGAGGTGGGTCTGCAGTAGACAGGCAGCCCAGAAGAGCAGTTACGTGTGGATCTGTGTCTTTCATGTTTAATGCTGTTGAAGGGAAAAGCTGCCACACGCGCCTCTGTGAGTGGCTACAACCTCCCAGGCAGCCAGTGACGGGATTTGCGGAGCTTGGGTCTCTTTGCTGTCCCAGCCATCTGCCTGCTCTGTGTTGTTGCTGTTTCCAGAACACTCCGGTACCTGGTCCATGGGCTGGGGCTGCTGCCAGCCTCTTGGACATTGCTGTGTCCCCAGACAGGATGTTCCTAGAGTGTGGGTGAGGCACACTGAAAAGAGACTTGTGGGTGGTGGGTTGAAAGGAGAGGAATGCCAGCTGAGGAGCGAGGGCTTGGAGCTGCATTCGTGATGCCATGAACCCGTAGAGACAGAGGGACACATGACACCCAGCTTCTGCTACCATGCAGCGACATCACTAAAGGCCATCAAAATGAGATCTTGGTCACAGGAAGACACATCCCCCAAACCCTTCACACATCTGTACAAAAACAGCCTGCTTTGGGCAGTGGTTGGAAAGAGATTTGATAGGGGTTGCAGATAGCAAGAGCTGTACCGAGCCACCAGCTGTAGGTAGGAGAGCAATGTTCAAGTGTGGATGAGGCCCTTGCTGCTGGCCCTCATTTGGGGTTCCCTGTAGCTCAGGCAGCGCACATAACACTGAGGCTCCTTCTTCTCTCTCTGCAGGAACATGACATTGAGACAGCTTTCGGAGTGGTCCATGTCACCATGCGGGGCACACCCAAAGGGAACAGACCTGTCATCCTCACATACCATGACATTGGCCTCAACCGTAAGCCCTTGCATTCCCGGGACCCTGAGACTGGTTATTTGTGGTATTTGCTTTTGAGTATGGGGACCACTGGGACTGGCCTGGAGCTGAGATGGGGCAGGTCATTCCAGGGTAAAAAGATAAAGGTCTGCAGGAGAGAGAGCCTGTGGCACACCCCTGTCCCTTCCAACAGCCTTTGAAAGGTAGGGCTGAGGTGGAAATAGGTCCACTCACCACACCATAGTGCTCTAGCTGACTTGTTGCACTGTGTGATAGAGCTGCCCCAAGGCATCTGTTCCCTGGATGCTGGGCAGGTGAGCAAGTGCCCTCTGCGAGGCTGCAGAAGTGGTATAATGCTTGTAGCAGGCTCAGTTGCTCTTTCCACATGTCTTCCCACCCAACTTGTACTGTTACGTTCACACAGGTGCTCCTCAGTGTGTATTGTGGGTACCCAAGTGCTGCAAGGCCCTGTTTTCCTGGGCGTGCATGCTGGGGTGCCATTTATGTGCCTGCCCTCCAGTGGTGGCAGTTACTTTGCTAGGACTCGCTGCGGTATTGCAGTCAGTGGGGCTCAGCAGCATGCATCGCGCAGCGTCTGCTGCCCCACAGACTCAGCAGGAGGGGTGGGCTCATACAGGTGTGTACCATGGTGTTTGGAGGGTGGATTGCAACAAAACTTCAGGAAATGTCTCATTTCTCTTTTTTTGTTGTTGCAGACAAATCCTGTTTTAATGCATTCTTCAACTTCGAAGACATGCAAGAGATCACTCAGCATTTTGCCGTGTGCCATGTGGATGCACCAGGCCAGCAAGAAGGAGCCCCCCCATTCCCATCTGGGTAAGAGCTCTGCAGAGATCCTTGTTGTTCCAGACGTGGTCTGGATTGCAGTCTGGACTGAGGTAGCACCCAGTTTAAGCCAGCTGGGATTGCCAGGCTGAGTGTAGCAGGAGGCAGCTTTCAGGAGCAGAGGAAACAGGAAGATGAGGATGCTTCCCAAGGGGCATTCAGGGAACTCTCGTACTACTAAGGCATGGGTAAAGCCCTCACTAGCAGTGAGTACTGGTACCAGCTTTCTGACTTGAGCATGAGCCCAGCACACTGCAGTCTAGCTGGCATTCCTTGCTCCATCTGTCCATCCTCCCGCAGATGTCTGACTGCCCAAAAAACCACACCTTTGTGTTAGTCTTGCTCTGAAGGACGGGGTCCATGAAGTTGGGCGGAATATACAGTATCGTTGCAAAATAATAACCTATGCATATGCCTGTCAGATATTCCTTGTCTCTCCTACCTTGGCTAGAACTGGGAAGTAACCTCTGTCAAGCTGTATTTGGAGGTGCTTTGATTTCAGTCTCTCTTTGTTTTCAGGTACCAGTATCCCAGTATGGATGAACTGGCTGAAATGCTCCCTGCTGTTCTGACGCACCTGAAGTAAGTCTGTGAAAGCAAACAGGGTGGGCCAGCTGGGTATAGCCATTCCAGCACCTCCTACCTCTATCTCTGCTCACAACATCTGATATGCTCACTGAGCTGCCCCAAGAGGCCTGAGCATCTCCTAACCTGTGTAACCCTGTCTGGTTCTTATGCTGGGAGCATTGTCTGCCACATGAGACAATTTATGGCTGCTGCATCATTGCTGCATCGTTTTGAAAATGAACCATAAGTGAACAGCTGGATGCAGAGAGGGGAAAGGCTTTGCCTCTAGGGTTGCTTCAGCTGTGAGCTTAAGTTAGCCTCACTGATTGTGAAATGCCTGTGTTTCAGCCTGAGAAGCTTCATTGGGATTGGACTGGGAGCTGGCGCTTATGTCCTCAGCAGGTGTGCAGTAAGTACCTCTTCATTTCCTTGTGACTTATGTGAGCTGTGGTCCTCCACTGGTCAGACAGACCGTTTGTGGGATACCAGCAAAAAGTAGCATTAATTACAGTAGGCCTGTAGGGAGCCATGCGAGAGCTACTTTGCATCCAGATCGTTAAATTGGAGCAGCCAAGGCTACTCTGAAGCTATGTCAGGCGTGGAAAGATTGTAATGTGATGTCTTTGAGTCAGAAGAGCCCGTCCTGGGTGCTAGGAATATCCAGCCTCGTGTCTTCACAAAGACTGGCTGCATTACTTTATGCTGTTTCCAGTGTTTGTGACACCAAACAATTTGATGATATGCTGTGAACCAGCTCTGATGAAGAATGTGCTTTTTCACTGGAAAGAAGCAGATTTTGCACTCCATCCTTTGACAAGAGAGTGCTAGCTTTATCTTGGTACTTACTTCTACTTTTCTCTCTAGTGGAGTGTTTATAAGTATGTGAAATCAGTGGACATAGTTCAGCAGCCCAGGAGTTTGCCTGAGTCTTTCAGAGATAGTGTTAAAAAAATAATAGAGATCTGACATTGTCAGTAAAGTTTGATTCAAGTCATTGAGTGCAGAGAGTTGCGGATGATTTAGGCCGCTTACTGCTTCTTAAAGCCACTTCACCATGCGGCTGCCCCTCCCACAAAATGTCCTCTGCTTCCTATTTGCTCCAGTCAGGGCTGAGCCTGGGACAGCGTGATGCACTGGTGTTTGCTCTGTTCCTTGCTTTTTGTATCTTGCATAGTTTTCAGTCTTGAAAATAAGCCTTTGGCCTCAGCTCTGAAGTGCCAGAAAGCCCTTGCCATGCTACCTGGATTGCGGACAGTTTCC